ATAGATTTACTATGCAAATAAATACTGGTAACATAGCTGGCAACGTTACAGTTTACTAGTCATGTGATATTACAGAAGCAGTTATTGGTATTGTATCTTTCCATGTTTCAGTTCAGTTCAGTCGTGTCCGACTCTTTGTGACCCAGTGAATCGCAGCACGCCAGGCCTCCCTGTCCATCACCAACTCGCGGAGTTTACTCAAAACTCATGCCCATCGAGTCGGTGATGCCATCCAGCCATCTCATCCTCTGTCGTCCCCTTCTCCTCCTGCCCCCAATCCCTCCCAGCATCAGGATCTTTTCCAATGAGTCAACTCTTCGCATGAGGTGGCCCAAGTATTGGAGTTTCAGCTTCAGCATCAATCCTTCCAGTGAACACCCATGTTTAGGGATCCCAAAAAGCAATTCATTGTGTAAAAGTTTAATGGATTTTTATCCCATATATGTAGGCAAAGGGAATCTACCAGTAAAATGTTTAATAAAAGCAAGGAACAAAATATTAGTTAAAATAACTTCCCACTCATGTGGTAGTCCAGTACATGTAGACAAAGTATTTTGGTACAAAGTGAGATAAAAGTTCACAGAAAATAACACCTTAGAAGGCATCCTCGAGTCCTGCACAAAATCAGGGCAATTATTTTACTGATTGTTAGCACAGAGTGAGCAAGAGGAAAGAGTTCAAAGGCTTCTCGGTGTTGGAATCCACATATTGATAATGACAACAGTAGAAACCAGTTCATCATTATATTTACATAAGCATCACTCTGCAGCCTTAGTGACATGTTATTTTTAAAGCATGACCCTGCTTTTAAATCACTGTCTCTCGTTTTGAGCTGTAAATTATTAAGAATAATAATTTACATTTTGAATATTAGGAACAAAATCTACCTCTGCCTCTGATAAACTGAATTTCTGTAGCATGTTGTTTTTGTTAAGGAAAGAAAAACATAAACTCTGTGCTTGAAACTGTTATTCTTACACTATGTTTTGTGTTCTGATTTGCCATTGGAGTGGCGTAACATCTTCGCAGCTCACCTCAGGCTTGCTAACTGTACACCTCCCACCTTTGTTAGCAATTCAGATTTCTGGCCATGTTGCTGGTATTGAATACAAGATACTTTTTGGACAGTTAAGGTGGGGTTTTCCATTTTTCATTAATTACAACATGACAACATCCTACTGAAAATTTTATCTGGTTAGAAACTGTCAAATGACAAATGTATTTGTAGAGTTGAAACATGTTCATAATTGGGGGTTGTGGTCCTCCATTAACACTGCCTGTCTTTAATTAGTTTATTAGTCAGGCTTCCCAAAAAAAAAACGGGAATTAGGTTTTGCACTAGTATTTTAATATTTATCAGGCTGTTCATGTTCACAATAAGAAAATTAAAAGGGGCTGTTCCTTAATATTTGAGGGAAAAAAGTGTTTATCTACCAGAGTTCTTAGGAACTGAAATGTTTTAAGGAATTTTCTTTTCCTTTTGTATTTTTAAGTTTTCACATAGTTAAAGTGTTTTCATTTTCTTGTTACTTTTTCCTTGACCTCAAACAATAAAGAACAGGACAAAAAATTATTTTGTTTAAGATGTGTCAAAATTCCAAAGTAATAAATTTCCTCTTTCCTGCCAGTTCAGAGCGCTTGCTGTTGAACACGGGTGGGAAGGCTTCTGAGCGGAGTTCAGGATCATTGGAAGAGACTGCCAGAATTATTTGTCCGCCAAGGATGACTAAGGAAGACATGCTGTAAATTAGCCAGGAAATCATCTTTCCCTGCTTTGCTTTTCATCATTAGAGTATTATTTGGGCTAGCCACTGTCAGGTGTTAGAACACATATGTCTGAGAATAAACCTGTTATTAAGTGGATGTTTTGTTATTTTATTAATCACTTTTTGGCTTCGAAAGCTGCCTTTTACGGTATTTGACTCCCCTTCTACTTTGTTTTCTTGAAGACTTAGGATTTGTTAAAGAAGCAGATAAAAACTGTGGTTTCTTACACATAAGAGTGACAGGAAGAAATAACGATTTGAGGAGATTTTATTTAAGAATAATATTATGTGGTTCACGTTAGGAGTGGTAGCTGAGGAGGTTACTGGAGTATCCTGGTGGTGGTTGATGGTGGGGATTGGTACTGTGGCATCTTCAGGAATGAACCTGTGAAACCAAGAGATTTTACAAGATAGGAAGGTTATGAACCTTGAAGAGTAGTGAAAGCTGGAAATAGGACATGAGGGTTGACTAGTTTTATTTCTTTTAGTGAAGGGGGAACATTTTTTAGTGCAAGAATGATCCAGAGGTTGCACTTGATGTTTTGGGGTTCTTTTTATGAATTTGGGCTAGAACTAGACCTGCAGCCAACATTGAACCAGATAATTGTACTAAAGAAGAAAGTATCTCTATATCCTGTGCTTATTTATTCCATCAAGATTAGGGAACTATAAAATGCTTATATCACTCTAACAGTGGACTGTGTTAAAATTCACTTACAGTCACTTAAAATGTTTTGGTAATGAGTATGTATAACCTGATTAGAGATAGGGCTAAGGGCAGTATGACTACTACTTTCTTGAAATAGAATTTTGTGGAAGATCATAAAATATTTTGGTTACAGAGTATACCAAATGCCAGGTACTTCCTCTCATATCAAAGTTGCTGTTTTCTATCAGACTTCTAGTTTTTAAAGAGAAGTTGAACCTTACGTAACAGATACAGCTAAAATCTAACTTATCTTTTCCCCCTCCTAGAGCTAAGGAGGACCCTGATCCTGAATTTGCTGTTTATCAGCACTGTACATGTTTTTATGCATTTACTATTTATGTATTGGTAACAAGTCTTATAATTGTGTTTTATTCTTCGTCTTTTTTCTTGGGGGGCCGGGGGGTTGGGCTCTGCCGGGTCTTAGTTGGGGCACTCAGGATCTTCGATCTTCCTTGCGGTATGTGGGATCTTTTAGTTGCTTTTTGTTTGTTTGCTTGCTTGGTTTTTGTTTTTGTTTTGTTTTGTTTTTATATAGTTTTTCCATTCCACATTGTTGAGACTTAGACGTGTTGATACATATAGTTATAATTAAGTTGATAAACAATATTCCATTAAATTGCTTAACTACTTGTGTGTATCTATAAAAGCACTTATTTTATTATTAGTTTTTATATTTTTCCATTCAGCATTGTCTTCTGAGATACAGTCAGGTTGATACAGATAGCTCTAGTTAATTAGTTTCTGTTACTATAGAAAAATCCCTTAAAGGACTAAACTAGTTTATCTGTTTCCTTATTTTAACAAATTAAAGTGTAACTAATTTTTAGTTGTTAAAAACTATTGCAGTGAACGTATTTCTTTATGCAGATGTGCAGGTTATATTGTCAGAAATAGAATTTCACGATGGCTGAGTATACACATTTTCCACCTAGCCAAATATTTCCAGGTTACTCTTTAAAAATGTTGGTGCTAGTTTTTATTGTTGTTGGCAGTACATGAATTACTGTTTTCCACATCTACCAACACTTGGTTTTTCCAATCTGGGTTTGAAATGACGTCTTAATATTTATAATATTTTAACCAAAATCTAACAAGACATGGCATATTTTTACGTATTTATTGGCCATTGGGATTTCTCTTATGTGAATTTTTAATATATTCATCTTTTGTTAGATTGTCTTCTTAAACCTCTTTGTTGGAGTTCTGTTATATATGCTGTCATTTTATTTTTAGTTTTGTGTGTTGCAGATATCTTCTGCCAACCAGTTGCTTGCCTTTAACTTTATTAAATCTTTTGCAGTTTTTTGAAAGTTAGCTCAATTTTTTTTAAGAGATGTAAGAAATTCTTCCCTGCCCTGAAGTTCCAAAGATAATCTTGTTAAGTTCAGCTTTTTGGATTTAGGAATTCCAAAACTAGGGAATTATATCATAAAGAAAGGAAGTAATTTTACTTTTTTCGTGTATTTTTTCATGTAGAGAACTGGCATCTCAATGCCATTTATTGAATAACTCAGTCTTTCCTCACTGCTCGCTCTGCTCATCTCTTATATGTATCCAGTTCTAAGTTTAGGAGTTCTGTATTCTGTCCCACTGTCTTTTTGTCTTTCTAGACTGCCTTAATCATCATAGCTTTACCTTACATCTGCAGTGTTAGGGTTCATCATACTTTCTTTAGAATTTCTCTAGTGCTGCTCTTTTTTTTTTTTTTTAATGTGAAGTTTTGAATGAATGTTTGTAAGCTTCCATTGAAAACCCTGGGAGAGGGGGCTAATTCCTTGGTAATCCAGTGGTTAGGGCTTTGCCCTCTCCCTGCCAAGGGGCCCAAATGCAACCCCTGGTTGTGGAACTAAAATCCCACAAGCCGTGCGGCCAGTCAAGAAAAGAAACAAAAAAACAAAAAGCCCTATGGGGAATTTGATTGGAGCTTTATTTGACTCTGTAAATATATATGAAAATTGTTATCTTAAAAAATCTATCTCACCATTTAAGTAGGTGTCTTGGTTTTATTATATTCTATGCAAAGATACTTGGTATATAATGTTAGCAATTGTTAGTGTTGTAAATAGTGCTTTTTTAAAAAGTGATTATTTTCTACTTGTTGGCTTTTGGAAACACTGTTAATTTGGGTATGCTGATATTTACTCCGCAACTTTGCTGAAGCCTCGGTTAGTTTTATAATTGGTGGTGTCTTGGATTTTCTGTGTAGATCTATAATCTTTATTCTTTGTATTTCTTGAAGTAGAAAATATTTGTGTCTCCTGAGAAATTTTAAAAATTCAGAAAAATGTTTTGCCACCAGATCAGGATACTTGGAAGGCAGTTTCAGCTAGTTAATTTTGGATGTATCTATATGTGAAGAGTTTTAGTATCCACATCTCCTGTGACATATATACACATCATCTTGAGTTTTTCTTGACACCCAAGTTGGTTTGTATAAGGGCATTTAGATGTTAAAACCTCCCCACTCCCATTTAGCATAAATGTTACTGCTACTCTTGGATTTCACTCAGTTTATTTCCTTTTAGGAGGCGCAGGTCAGAATGGAGATGGGCTGCAGACCGAGCAGCTATTGTCAGCCGCTGGAACTGGCTTCAGGCTCATGTTTCTGACTTGGAATATCGAATCCGGCAGCAAACAGATATTTACAAACAGATACGTGCTAATAAGGTAAGGGATAAGTGTCTGGTCTTTTTCAGCCCAGCTAAAAACTATCATTATCCCCTTTTCCCCATCCCTCAATAACTCTTAACTCTGTCAAAGAGAATGATTTAATATGATCTGATATAGCAGTTTAATTTGTTTAAGAGCCTGGTGTCACTTAGCATAATGCAGACAACACTGTTAGAATAGAATGTTAGATTAGAATATGGGTTTAGAACAAAACAGTTTGTATATCTGGGCTAACAGGGAACAGTTAAAAGGAGGGTGGGGCATGATTTAAGGTACGCCATTGACCATACCTGCATAATTGTTATATATATGAAAAAGTGATGATGACTGAGGGTTTTCATCTTTTTTTTTTTTCTTTTTAAACTTAAATGTGTTTCTCTTTTGCTGCTTAGCTTCCATTGTTGAGGGAAAATGGATTTTTTTCTGAAAGATAATTCAGGCAAGATTAGATTCTGGTGATTTCATTTTTTCCTTGTCCTTTTTGTGGTGGATTGACTCTTACCATACTGCTTTTGTCTTTAATAGTGATGCTTGTATAATTTTTCTCCTGAAAAATCAAATTATAAAAATGTCCTCTGCTTATTTGGGGTTTGACTGAGGGGTTGATGTACATGGACAAGAAATCCATTCAGCAAACAGTTGAGTGCCTACTGTGTACCAGTACTGTTCTCCTTAGTGGCGACACAGGGACCAATAAAAATCCTCCTTTTGTGGTGCTGAATCTCTTGCAAGGTACTTTTGGTATTAGCTTGATGCAGTGAACTCCCTGGCTGAACATGTGGGTCTAGATGAAGCATCTTCTGCTCCTAAAAATAAGTGTCATGACACATTTTTGTCACACCTTAGTGCCGGTCAAAGCCTTAAGAAAATTGCTATATACTACAATTGTGAACTGCGTGCATTAAATTAATTAGTAAGCCAAAAGTTAAAGGGTGACTAACTGCCAAGATGAACAAAAGAGTGAGGGTTTGAAGTAAAAGTTCTGCAGCCTCCCTAATATATAAGTTTTTATTCCAGACATTATACTGGAGTGTTCTTTTGAGCTTCTTCACCAGATAGAGTTACATGTAATTCTCCAAAAGTTCATTGGAACATAATATAATTGAGGGCAAAGTCCAGAGGATTTAACCTTTAAAATATATATATATATAAATGGGCTCCCTTAGGATAGGGAACATATTAAATCCTGACTAACTTTAAAAATTAGAGCAAATGAGGATTTGAACCTAAAAATATCCACAGAGGATGGTAAATGTTATGCTTTCCTTAGCTCATTCTCACAAAGAAAATTAAGTGAGATTTGCAGAATATCAGCTGGAATGGTGATTAAAAAAAATATCAGGAGATGGCTGAATATGCCTATCCTGAAGAGAAAAACATTCTTGCTCAGTTAGTGTGTGTCAAAACTTTTATAGCCAGTAATTAAGTGAGAATTTTCATATTTGAGAACTGAAGTCTCTTAGTAATAACTGAGATTATTAGAATAGTAGTCAGACATATTTGTTGCTGTATCTATTATATTTGTATACAATTGTATGTATTGTGTGTTTGTACATGGTCCTCATTGTAAAACTGCTATATCTAATAAACTCAAAGATGCTACTGCTTTTAGCGGCACCGTCTGTTACAGTTCAGGTGCTCAATTGTGTGCAGCTCTTTGCGACCCCATGTACTGCAGCACACCAGGCTTCCCCGTCCATCAGGGTGGGGAAGGCTGCCTCACCAGCTCCTGGCGCCTACTCAGACTCATGTCCATCGAGTCGGTGATGCCATCCAACCATCTCATCCTCTGTCATCCCCTTCTCCTCCTGCCCTCAATGTTTCCCAGCATCAGGGTCTTTTCCAATGAGTCAGTTCTTCGCATGAGGTGGCCAAAGTATTGGAGTTTCAGCTTCAGGACGGATCTCCTTTAGGATGGACTGGCTGGATATCCTTGCAGTTCAAGGGACTCTCAAGAGTCTTTTCCAACACCACAGTTCAAAAGCATCAACTCTTCAGCACTCAGCTTTCTTTACAGTCCAACTCTCACACCCATACATGACTACTGGAAAAACCATAGCCTTGACTAGACAGACCTTTGTTGCCATAGTAAGTATCTTTACCAGAGTCTCACAGCATGGATAACTTCTGTTTTTGATGCATACTTTAGAGAAGTACTTAGGCAGTGTGCCTCAGTTTACAGTCTCACTACCTGTGTGGGAAGATTCTCACTTTTGGTTCCTACTTTATTCTTTAGCTCATAACTCAGTAGTAATGACAGCAGTTTTGTGAAATTATCAAAAATCTTATTGTTGTTCAGTTGCTAAGTCGTGTCCGACTCTTTGCATTCCCGTGGACTGCAGCATGCTTGGCTTCCCTGGCCTTCACTGTCTCCCAGAGCTCAAATTTGTGTCCATTGAGTCAGTGATGCTGTCCAACCATCTCATCATCTGTTGCCTCCTTCTTCTTTTGCCCTCAAACTATATCCAAAGTCTTAGCTATCTCTGAATATCTGGAAAGTGATTGATTTGAAGTTTTGTGTATATATTGATTATCCATGGGTTTTTTATCATTCAGGGCATAATGTTATTACACCAGACTCATTACACCAGGTATAATGTTATTATGCCTGGACTTGGGATACCGTTTTTGATTCTAGTTTTGACTTAGCTGTCCTAACCTTGGGAAGAAAAGTCACTAAACACATACTAGCCTTAGTTACATGGTTTATAACAAGACATTCTAGATTATAGTACTTTTTTTTTTTGTCTACAGTATGAATACACGTCTTAAAAATTCTGACAGGAAGAATAAAAGTAGAACAATAGTCGAAATAATACATCAGGAAAACGTACAGCTTTATTAAATATTTATATGATGTCTTTGGAAACAAGTGCATTAGTTTCCTGGGGCTGCCATACAAGGTTGCACAAACTGGATGGTAAACTTAAAACAACAGACGTTTATTTTCTCAGAGTTCTGGAAGCTAGAATTAAATCAAGATGTAGGCAGGACTCTGCTCCTTTTGAAGATCTGAGAGAAAAAATTTCCTTGGCTTTTCATAAGCTTCTGGTGGTTGCTGGCAGTCTTTGGTGTTCCTCTTGTTTATAGCTGCATCACTCCAATTTCTTCTTCCGTATTCCCTCTTAGGTGTGTCTATGTCTCCAAATTTCCCTCTTGAAACCAATCAAATTGGGATTTAGGGCCCATACTAAACGGTTCTTTGTTCCTCTTTTTATCTTCATTTTAGGTTGATGATGTTTGCGTTTCCAAATCAGGTCACATTCATAGTTCTAGGTGACAGATTTTGGGGGGCAAGCAGTAGACTTTTCCCCAAAGATAATTAACTTATGTCTGATCTTCATGTATCACTATAGTGACAGAAGTCTTTGAACATTTACTATGTGCTGAACACTGTACTAAACATTTTGCTGTTATTCACAAATTTAAAGATAAAGGGTCAAAGAGATCAAGTGGTTTGTTCATGGTCATACAGCTAAGTGAGTGCAGAGCTGAGATTTGACATTCTGACTTTGTCTTTCTAATTAGCACTTGGCTTATTAGAATGCTTGACTATTTTATGAGTTACTGGAATGGGAGATTTTTTTAAACTCCTGTGTTCTAGTAAAGAGATTGGTGTTCTCCTTTCCCATTCTCCAAAATTAGCCAGAGTTGCACAGGCATTCTCACGAAATCTAGGTTTGGTGATCAGCTGTCCAGGTATAGTTTGTGTTTGGATGGGGAACTGGAGGGTAAGATTTTCTTTTTTGGATTTACTCTTTAGCATGTTAATTTCCTTAAAGTGACCTATTCCAGAAAAGAAAGTATTTGAGAACTGCTGGATGAGTATCAGTTTTCTCATCCATCAAAAGTTAAGTATTGCCTTCCAGGCTGTTAATTAGTAGCGTCTTTGAGAATAGTGATTCCTTCTGCTCTTTGAAGAGTGGGTACAGTTACTAGGAGCTCCTCTGTACTCTTCTTCATACTATTATGTCTTAACTTTCACATTCAATCAGCTTTTTAAAAAAGATACTGCCATATATTAGAATGAGAAAGGAAAATAGCATCTGTACCATGAATGATACTATATACAAGTACATTCATGTGTGTTACTTAATGCAGAAAGCACCAGCTTACAGGCTTGTAAGAAGCAGAGCTAAATTTGAACTTGGGGCCCTAAATTTATCTGACCCCAAAGCATTTCCTGTCTAATGCATTCTGCTGTTGTATCCTTTTCATCATGTCTCTTAAGCATATTTATTGAAGAAGGTGAATGCACAGGGACCAAGAGGATTCTGTTGGTAAGGGAGACTTCTTTCTCTTAACACACAATCTTCAACATTCACATCTAGTACAAGGTATTATCTTTTTTTAACCCTTCTTTTGACTGATCTGTCAGATTCCACAGCCTTGCTAAGGATGGAAGTGTTAATTGGGAATGAGAGGTGGAAGAACTATGAAACTTACAATAGATAAGCTGCTGAATGGGAATAACCTGGGATACTTGTCTTCAGAATTGATGTAAAATAGTTGCAGTTCCATCTTAGTGGAGTTCTGAGGCCTTGTGGTTAGCCACGTCTTGCCTCCGTGGCCCAGGATGATCCTTACCTAGCCCAAGACAGTCTTGTGAAGCTGGTCTACAGCGTGCCCACTGATCTAGCTAAGATTGGCGGGGAAGTGAGTATGTGAAATTGCATCTTAATTTTGTTTTACAGATGAAGAGGTGTTTTGGTTTTGTCTTTTTTTATATACAAATTAGTTTTTTCTTTTCTTTCCTTTTTGCTTGCTTGCTTTTGCCCTGTTTTGTAATCAGGCTTAGCACAGTTTCTGGTACCATTTCTTTCTTTTTCAATTTTACTTCCTTCTCCCCCCCCCCCCCCCCCCATTTTTAAATGTAGGATAGACTTGTATTTCCACAGAGGAATAATTTGCAAAGATCTGTTAGGACTGCATACCACCATGAGCCTTCCCAATTTCTTTTGTCCTGTGTAGGAGTTCTGTGGGTCTGGATGATCCAG